TAGTGGTCCCCGGGGCCCGATACGCAAAAGCGCGTCCTGCGCAAAAACGCCCCAAAACGCATGTTTCACCACGTCATAGCAGGTACTTCGAGCTACTATATTTTGCAGACTAGAACTTCAGGGGCAACTTTTGTTGTGTCCTTCCACATGCAAAAGACGGATCTCAAAAAGATGGAGCTAAGCTCGAGTTATGCATGAAGACGTCTTCGCAATTCCATCCCACGAGTATTAGGGTTTTGGATCGCCGATTTAGGGGAGTTCGACCAATTAAAGGCTGTGGACAGCTTCACAGCCTTCAGCAGCTTCTGAGCAGGGCACCTTTAAGAGTTGCCGCTCTGAAGTTGAAGCTCCCGAAGTAATTAGGAGCTGGTTCGGTATTCTGCAACATCCTTCTTGGCCTTGTTGATGAAAAGAGATACGCCGGGAACATTCATGAGCTATACTACGAAAGGAAGCACGTTGTGGGAGAATAAATGCTAAAGTGAGTCCAGCTTCTGATGAAAGAGAGTCCATGATCAGCAATTACTCAACCTCTTTCAAATGCAGCAGGCTTTCCAATCGTGGCTAGTCTTAGCTTAACGACTCGCTGCAAAGACCTGCTCATGATTACCTAGCTTTCAAGTTAGTATGGCCCAGACAAGTAATTTAGAGAGAGCTTCCGACATGGATCCGGAAGCGATCACAAACGCAGAAACTTCCCCAGTTTCTCTCAGCAGCAGCCCGGAACTGGACATTCCTCTGAGCGACTATGAGGCAGCTCTTGACCGCAAGCGTTGGAAGGTGCATGGCGAGGACTATGAAAAAGTTGAGGAGAGGTTGCAGGCGGTCTGTTCACAGGTGCACGACACAATTGCGCAGCTCATTGGGGCAATGCGCGACTTGGAACTCTGGCAGGCGACTGCGGCCAAGACGTGCGAGCTCCCCACCAACAGCCTTGCGAAGATCACTGTGATCACGAGCCAGATGGTGCGAAGGTGAGCGCTGCAGTTTACCAGGGAATCAGCATTGACAACACTGTTGCTAATCTGGTCACTGAAAGCCTTTCTGTTGCTTACTCTGATTCGGCTGTACTGAAGTTGCACCACCAGTGGGTGTTCGATTGTGGACTTCTTCCCAGGCATCTACGCTTCTGGCTTGAGTTTTGCCCCAAATCCAATTGGCTGGTTGATATGAATGCTGGATTAACACACGGAGACTAGCTCCACAGCTTTCTTAACAACCTTCACTCTGATGAATGGCAATCATTCAGCTGACCTAAATCAGGTTGTTTATGTGCGAAGCAACACTGAAAGCTGCCCTCCAAATGACGAAAATTTTGGCTTCAAAGCTATGTATAAAGAGCACCGACGAGGCTGCTGGGAGAGAGCCTCCGTCAGACAATGATTAAGGCCTTCAATCAGGACTGTCTGAAGTCGAACTACCGCACTTTGGAACAGCTGTTCATCTTTTGTGGACTAGTACAGTATGGCCATAGCCCAGGCGCCAAGGATTAATTCTCCGTTCCGTGAGCTTCTGTAGTAGCATTGACTTGAAGTCGAAATTGTCAGCACTTCAGCCCAAAAAAAGCGCTGGAGGCTTCTTCAGCAGTCGCTGGACGCGCCCGGTCTTCTTTGTAATCTCCAGCCGCCACCCAAGCGATCTCTGCAGACAAGCTGCCGTGCATCCTTCCCCCCTCCTTTGGCCAATCGCTGTCACTTGCTCGACCCAGCACCTCATACGATCCCTTCAAGGATTTCAAGTCGTTTTGTCAGAGAGCTCAACGGAGACACTGGAGTTGGAAAGCGACTACCTTTTTATGAGTGGCTCGGCCGTTGCCTTTGGCAGTTGGTCGATCCTTTACTTTTGAAACACGTCACTGCACGACATGAGGTGCTGACTTGGGACGTCCTGCTCCTGATGACATGCTGACGTGTGGCTCCTCCCTTCTCCTTCCAGTCGCTCGACCTTGAGCGGCCAGCTCGGGACTCTGCAAGACGTGTGCCGCTGCTTCTTCCCTTCAACCATGCTCCTAGAGATAACAGGGCAACGGGAGCTGCAAGCGAGGTCAGAATTGTCCCTTTCTCTTGCTTCTAGGGTCTGCAAAATCTCAGAGTCCGTTATCTCTCAACAACGAGTCAGATTCGGAAAAAGGACTCTACAAAAGCAGAGTCCTTTACTTACTGTTTGCTGCATTATACCAACAGGCATCGTCCGCATGGAACATGGAACCTTTCTTAGCATGCCTCGAAACGTTCCGACTCACGTCCAAGGTTGGTAAGTTTCAAATGCACGAATATGAGGTCGACAGAGAAAGGAGTCTGGCCGGGTTACGCTTGCTGCCCGCAGCTCATTTCTTCGCTCCTTGACACAAACCTTAATCAGTCGCTTCTGCAACGAATGGTAGGGTGACTTTTAACGCTCCCCGTCTCGAAAGCCCAGTGCGAAAGAGCGTGATCAAGGCGGGGCGAAATGTGTGCCCTTTGATGCGAAAACGTTTGAGCAACATACGAGCGCCTCGGATGCAAGGAACAAGAGTCTGCAACTCTCGTCCGGGACTAGGTTTTAGGGTCCTGGGGTTCCAGGGTTTTAGGAGTTTACTGCTCATAGGTTTTAGGGTCGAAGCTCTCAAACCTCGAAGTCGCCATCGGGAAAAGGACCAAAGCAGCAAACCGCCACCGCAATCTCCGCGCCTCTATTCTTTTTGAGGTCCCTAATGACGAGCAGGATTGCTCCCCTGCATGCAGAGCCGAAGTGGAGATTGAGAAGTGGGCCCAGCTCGCATTCAGCGGGCAGCAGACCGCCAAGACCGAGTTCCGAACGCTGCGCGCATCGCTACGCTGGTACCGCCTGTCAAAGCAACTCACGGTGAGCCGCTGACGTCATCTCTGGTCATGCCAGTTTTGTTCTCTGAGAGCGGAAAATGTTGGCACTGCTCGACGGAATATTTCTCAAGAAGTCACCAGCTTATTACGCTCTGTCGGATCTAACAGACCCGGGTGTCTCGAAAAGTAGAGGCAAAAGCAGAGCCAAAAGCATAGGCAGGAAAGGGTTTGAACATGGGTCGAGAGAAGCTGGACGGCCGGGAGTTCAGCACCATCTATCTTGCTCCGTTTTTTTACAAATCGGAACGTACGAGTGTCTCGGGCCCATGACAGGAACACGACGAGCGTGTCTTTTCTCGCGGGTCGCAGTTTCGTTCAGACACAGAAACCTACGGCAGAATACCGATCCAAGCCAGACCGACGTCACATGCTGGATCGCTGCTTCTTTGTACAACCTAGATAGATTTTACCGTCCGATCTTACGATGTGCACCGGTCGCGAACTTTCCTCGTCTCTGTTGTCTTCGCGCCTCTCCGCTTCGCCGTTCTTAACGCTTCCCCGCTTCCCTGCTTCTACATTTTCCCACGTTCTCTGCTTCTTCTTCCGCTCGTCACTTTTCCCACTCTTCTCATTACTCCCGATCTGCTCGTTCTTTTTGGTGCAAACAAACCCGGCCCCCGTCTGTGCAGGACGGCGTCATGCAGCAGATCCATCAGACGCGCGTCCGCAAATTGCGCGCGCGCATCGGCGACCTGGAGCGGCGCAACCGGGGCCTACGCGGACAACTAGCCTGGGAGAAAAAACGGGCGGACCGCGCTTTTGGCGCGCTTCACATCAACCGGAAACTCGCGCGGAGCCTGGCGCCGGGGGACTGGGACTCCATCCAAAAGGACGCGGTGAAAAGTGTCAATGGGGACAAGGGGTGGGCGTCGGCCCGGGGGGTTGACACCAGGACCCCCCGGCAGAAGGGCGAGTTGAGTTCGAGGAGTGTTAGGCCCAGCACGAGGGGGGGTGCGGGGCAAAATGGACGAGAGCTGCGGGCGATCGAGAAGCGAATGAGGGCCTCGTTGGGGGATAGGGTATCAGGCGTGGACAGAAACGGCGACGGGGAAGAGGAGCTGTTCCCGTACAATGGTCGCCCTTCGGAGATGGATCCGCGGCGGAAAGGCGTGACGAACGCCGACTTTGCGGCAGCCGTCGCGAGCCTGACTGCGAAGATTCGTGAGGCGACAAACATGCGGATCGGAAGCGTGGACGAGTCGCCGCCCGTCCTCGGAATCGCGGCAAACAATCTCATGTCGATGAGCGCGCCTCTTCCCGGGGACTTCAACTGGGCGGCCGGGTTTGGGTCGGTGTCAATCTCAGGCGCAGCAAACGGAGCGGAGACTGTTGACACTGGTTCAGGACCGGAGCATCCGCTGGCGAATGGGCCAGCGCGGAGCCCGAGCCCAGTTCTGAACACGCGGAAAACGGGCAAGTTTATTCCGAGCCTGAATTTGTGGAAAAAAGGGGTTGCTGGGGCGCTCAAAGAAAGCGAAAAGGGAGAAGAGGCGTCTTCTTCGTCGGAAGGAACGCCCAAGAACGGAACCAAGAAGAGCGGAAATCTGCGGAGGGACAGCCATTTGCAGAGGAACGCGTCGAAGGCCGCTAACCGGGACGGTCAACCTGGGGGTTCCACGTTAGCAAAAGCTGCCACGTCAGCGTCGGCTTCGACGTCAGCATCCCTGCCAAAGCTGACGTCAGCCCCTGGAGGCGGAGCGCAGTCGAGCGGGATTGCTTCCGAGCGGAATGGAACGATGGAACAGTCAGCGGGGGACAAACTACCCTCCATTTCCCAAGCCCAGAACTCACAAACCCAAAGTTCAGACCCCCCAAACCTTTCAAACCAGGACGTGCAAACCCAAAACGCGCAAGTCTCGAACGTGCGCGCAAATGGCCCGGTCGTTCCGCGGCTGCCACTTGGCGCGCTGTCGGCTCGACGGTACGATCCGGCGGAGGAAGCGGCCGGAACGGAACGACTCGCGAAAGCGCTTGGGATCGACTTTGCGCCGGAGATCGTGACTGGAGCAAATGGTCAGAGAGCAAATGGTGCCCCTGAAAGGAACGGGATTCAGCCAGCGACGACTTCGGATCCCCCAGGAACGTTTACCGGAAAACAGGAAAGAAAAGCTGAGCCAAGGCGCCTCGACAACGAACTTTGTCTGGAAAATGCAACCGAGAGGGAATTTAGCAGCGAGCCGACCGTCACCGATCGCCCGAGGAATGCAACTGAGAGGGGCTTTAGCAGCGTGCCGACCATTACGGAGCGACCGGGGAGTGTTACCGAGCGGGGGACGGCAAGCACGTCGGCGCCCGCAAATGGGGACGAAAGCCGAGAGACATTTACGAAGCGGGACTTCCTAACGATGCGGTTGGAGCAGAGCCGACAGCTGCAGCATTTGCAATCGCTCTACGAGTGAGACAGCATCTCCCTCTTGCTTTTCGGAGTATTTTCCACTCGGTAGCGGAGGAGGTCGTCACTTATCTTCAACAAACGACTTCTGATTGATATCTGTTGGAAACGCCGCCGTAGAATCCGTCTCTTACAAAGAACTCTAATCGCTGCAGACCAAGCAGTCTTTCCAAAATTTTGTGTGAGGAGTCTGACGGTTGCCATCACCGAAACTGCATGACGGCGTCACCGCAATGACCAGGTAAGAGCTTGAAAAATAATGGCGGTTGCGCAATTTTAGCCGTCCGGTGAATACGTAGGAGCGTTTACAACACCTACTTCGAGGAAGTCCCCACTTTCGCTGGCGGACGTATGTATTGAATGAACGATTTTTCAGATTAGCCTTTCTTAGTAGAGGAAGTCTCTACTGTTTGCAGGAACGCCTCCAGATCCGGCCTGACGAGCTCGTCTTTTACTCAAAGCCCACGATTGTCTAATCAAACCGGTGTCATTGACCAGCTTTGCTCCTTGTTGCAGGGAACGCATTCAGAGTCTGCACGCCTTTTACGAGAAGCTTCTTCAGACGCAGCTGCCGGCGGTTCTCGCGCAAATGACTGCCAGCATGTCGGGGTCGCACTCCCGAGGAACGCAGGGCAGCTTTTCTGTGAGTTTGGTTGGCTATTCCAGATGGACAAGTCTACGATGTGACTTAGTTTCGCCTCGGAGTTTCTTTTTTGAGGTTGTCGCGCTGGTATTGCCTTTCCAGACTCCAAGTCGTTTGAACAGGCTTGAAGATTTTCTTTGAAACAAGTCTGACCAGGCTTTCGACAATTGCAGGGTTTGGGCAGGAATTTATGGACCGATACTTTGAGCCCGCCCTTTTGCGCTCTGCTGTTGTTGACTACTGTTCTTCTTGAGTTGGCTAGCGCACCAGGAATCTTCTGTTCTGCTGCGATAGCATCGAAATCAGGAAAATGGAATCGTTTGTTCGCTGCGTTAGAAGGTTACAGAGCGCACCCCGTCTTTGTCCCCCGCCAACGTACCATACAGAAGCGATGGATTGTCAGCTTCTATGAATTGACAGTTTAGGCAGCCGTTCGCTGAAGACTTGAGATACTGCTTGATCTTGCACACTCTCTTTCAGAGCTTCCGGGCTGTTGCCATGTTCATGGGCTTTCGATTCTTTCCGCCTGCTGTGTCTACGCTACTCGCGCAACATTTGTTGTTTGTGAACCATCGAGCTCTTGGTCCAAACTTCAGAGAATGCCTTTATATACTTGGCTTGTATTTTATTCTGTTCACCATTTCTTTAACTCCTTAGGCGGCCGGTTTGAGTTTACCACTTGGCTTTAGGCGGAGACTGCAGAGCAGCTAGCGAGATACTTAAAGCATTACAGTCCCAACCCGAGCCCTCGTTCGATCACTTGTACATCTCTCCACTTGCAGGATCTTCTGAGCACTACGCCCGAGGCAAGTATCACCTCAAAGGAGGCGCCCCCGAAGGTAGCCGCCTCTCTAGACTCCTCGCGCAGGGGCTTCAAAAGGGTGGCTAACGCCGTGCAGGTCTCTCGAAGCCTACGAGAACCGCTGACGCAAAAAAGTAGCGCTCTAAGACCTGATAAGCCTCGAGCGAGTGCTTCGAGTAAATAGTGCTTGTAGCTGCGAAAAGTGTTGCACCAAGCGGCTGGGCCATTTGCTTGCAAGATCTGAGGGCCAACCCCGTGAGCGTCCTTATGTTAAGTGTCTCGTCTTCACCAACTTTCATGCAGTTAGAGTGGTGATGGTGGGCATCGACAAGATGGTAATGATTTATGCATTCGACTCCGGGTCAGTGACTTCGTGGCGCTTTCGACTCTCATGCCCGCATGCAAACCACTCTGTTTTTTCACCTGTTGCCAAGCGGCCAGCCGGCATGACGTGCAGTGGCCACCAAAGCTGCCGCCGCGCGCGCTGGTGGACCATGAAGTCGATTCAAGGCGGCTCGAGCCCTCCTACTGCTCATACAATCTGGCTCTGGGACTAATAACATGACTGACAGGACATGCAGATCCCTGCAGAATATCCTTCTAGATGATCATATGGCATGCGCATGCAGTCAAACGCAGGGGGAGCAAGTCTGGCTTTAAGTAGACGCTTAGAAGCTCGTGAACAACGTGTCAGGATTAATGAGACGCGTACAGACCGTTTTCTCCTTTTGCAAATGTGCGGTGTCGTGCTCGCGGCCCGCGCCGCATCACAAGGCATATAGACCGCGCGTGTCTGTGGCGCATTCATGCGGGGCCATCAATACATTGAATAATTACGTAACCGGAATTCAAGACAAGAGATTGCTCGAATAAAGACAACATTCTCGGCCGTACTATGCAAGAATATCAGATACGAGTCGTACGTTGAGAGTGCAGTTTTTGTTCCTTGGAATTGTTCCATGGAATCAAATCAGGGGCGAAAGACCGGGTGCGGGTATGCAACACAGACGAGTTGCAATTACATCCAGCAGAAGCTTGTGTAGATGGCAGAGCAAGCGACCCGTCTCCTTTGAATATTGGCAGCAGCCAGAGAATGTCCTTGAGGAACTTGTTACCGTTCATGTCAGAACAATCAGCTAGCCAATCCGTTTCCAAGATTATCCTTTTCATTCCAGTAGACCTGAAGATCCTGAGGCGTCAGCTAGCCAATCACTCTGCATGAACCAACTTCAGCTGTAGTACGTGGTTGCTTTTAAAAGCTAGATTGAAGGTCTACTGGGCGCTCGTAAAACCGCCACCGCAGTCAGAGTGCAAAGAGGAGGCTGGGCAGGCAAGAGGTGCTGACGGAAACGATCTCAATCAAGCTCAACAGGTGTCACTTGCCCAGATCAGGCTCCGTCCTCTTCGCTCGCTCATCGACTCCCGCTGCCTTCTCCCCGGGCGCCTGCATCATGATCCATATTGCTGGTATCGCTCCTAGTCCTGTTCTTCCACTGTGACTGTAGACACACGAAAAGTCAAGCAAAACGCCACGTCTTCTGAGCCCCTGACGCAACATCAATCATGCGGCGGCGCCGGCGGCCCGGGTTGAAGCCGCGCGGGGTTTAGGGGCCCACGAGATTGTAAGCCGCGGCCGCGAGCAACGCAAGCAGTCTGTGCCCCGGGCCCGCCGCGCCCCGGTCGCACGTGCAGTCTTGGGCAACTCGGTTGAACACCTCCAATGGTGAAGCGTCCCAGCAAGTTCGTTTTGGCAATGCGCAGCAACGAGAGACCGCAGAGCCAACCAAAGTGGACGTTGCGCCAATCTGGAAAACGGGAGCCGACCGCTAAAAGAAAGGACGACAGGAACTCTACTCTGGAGACAAGAGTGCCATCAGCATCTCGGCTCAAAGAAGGCGCCGGCGCCCCCGATAGTTGCTGCCTCCGTATAATCCTCGCCCAGGGGCTTAAAAAGGTGGTCGACGCCGTGCACGTCTTTCGAACCTAAATACGCGTTTCTGAACGTGGAAAGGTGAGAAGCCTCAAAACGCGCATCAGTAGTTCGCGTAAGCAGTGCGTGTGCAAGAATGAGAAGAGTTACGGCGAGACGGGCGGCGAGACGGTTGACCCTTTCATGCAAGTTTGTTAACGGAAGTGCTAAGTAAACTCCATGAGCGTCCCTGTCTCCCTGCAGAAACTGTTCATAAAGGCATGCAATGCGGTTTAGGATGATAACGTGCGGCGCCGAAAATAGGACGCCAGCCAGGTCTTGATTACGAACTGGACTGTGGTGACGTCATGGTCCCGTGGTAGCCGCGCACTGACCGCATGCGAACGATGCTTTAAACTTATTGTCCAGCGTCGGCCAGCTCCGCCCTAACCGAGGCCTGTGCGCGGACCCTGTAGGGTCGATGCGAGGCGGCTCAAGCCGTTCAACACAATAGGGCCAACTAGCTAGTGCACTTCTGGCTCTGGTGGGTAAAGACACATTTTACCGGACACATGTATTCACACATCTCGACAGCCGTTCATTTCCATTTGATTGAAAGTTCAACGCAGGGGAAAGTACATCTGGCTTTCATTAGACGCTTATAAACTAGATAGGAACATCGTGACATGTCAGGATTATTAAGCCCACATAATAACGTCTCCTCGATTTGTGGATGCGCTCCTTGCCTTGCACGTGTCACGTCACTGGAGTCACGGCGCCCATTAAAAGCGTTCTGGGCGCAATCAGGGACGTCCTGCGTCTTTATTCATCTTTGCATCCCACATGATGATATATTCATGGACAGGGATGCTAGAGACCATGTATGGTTCATGCGCAAGGACTCGCGTGGCAACTTCTGTTCCTACAAACCGTACTCCACAAAAAACTCAAGCTTCGGTGATGTAAACCCAACTTTCGTTTGGGGGGGTGAAATGATAAGTACTCCCGCCTTCGACGCTCAGCTTGTACTTATCCCGCCAAGCGAGCCGGTATTGCCCATACTTCAGGGGAACCACTCCCCCGAACGGCCCAAACAGGGTGACGACCTCCGGTGTTTGCACGTTGTTCCCTTGTGCATCCCAGAAATCTATGGTGGCCCAAGCCGAGTCTCCGATTGCGGTGATCTTCGCAACAAGGTCGCCTTTCAGCTGGAGCTCATACGCCCTCCGTTTGTCAAACCTGATCACTGCAAAGGAAAAGGGGAATGATGGTGCATGTGGACCAGGCACGTGATTCCGATGCCAGAATTCTGACGACAAAGGACAGTATCGAGCTCCCGCTCTCCTGGAGGCGGGAAGGGAAAGTGATGATTTGGTACAAACCGTTCGAATACGACGTCTTAGCTCCGCTCAGCCCCGTGCTCATCGACATGTCTGCCATCATGGCTGCTAGTCATCAGCGGCTTTCACACTGTGTAAGGCCCTGCCCAGGTCCTGGCACCAATATTACTAGCGGTGTCGCGCGCGGCCGTAGTCTCACCATCCCTTTCATCGGAAACATGTGACCACGTTCGGCCTCCTGTGTTATGGTACCCGTCTCATCAGACGGGCAATTTAGGGCCTGAACCTATGGGCTATGCATAGTACCACTTGCATCTTCCAACTAGCTGCCAGGGAATTCCCTTACTTCGTCAAGCATCCGGACAGGACTTTGGAAACAACAAGGCACACTGCTCTCCAGAGATGGAGTTAGAAAAGAGGCTATTGCTAGCTAGCACCGAGGTTGAGGACAGAAGTCAAAAGAGCCGTAGCTTTTGAATCCGACAGAAGACGTGATGACCATGCTTATCGCTTCCACTCAGTGAGTTATTGACGAAGAAGCAAGCGCACTTTTCTTTCAAAAGAAGGAGAACAAAGAGCGACCATCAGAATGATCGCGCTGATCGACTTGCTGCTTCTGTCACTCTCTTCCCACCAGAGAGCGGGCGACTCGAGGATGCGCTTCACATGTACACACCTCATATCAAACTCTTCGCAAAAATAAACTTGGACTTGTACCCGACTTGTATGCCAGATCAGACTTTGCATTACTTTCCAGCTGTAAGTTTTTGCTTCTCACAGAATAAAAGAAGGTTCCCCCTTGTAAGAGCGGCCCAAGAAGTACAACAGAGGCACGCGTTCAACTCTGTAAGGATTGAAGGCAACGCCCATGACAATAAAGCTCAAAACACGTATACGCTATCAGGAAGATAATCAGCATGCACACTATGACTGAGATCGGCCAGTCTCACTTGCCTAGGTCCGGCTACTTCCTCTCGGCTGCTTCCGTGTTACTGGGGCCACTGCCTTGCGCGACAGCAACATTCATGCTAGTTGTGGTGGTCCGCTCCCCCAAGCAAGGCATGCACTTTGCGGCGACCAAAGCGGCGCCACTTCTCCACCCCTAGTTCTCCAGTTCTCAGGCGCTTCTGCTATGCTCAGGACTACTTCACGTTCACAATCAGCACTGCTGTTTCCAGCTCTCAACAGCTGGATTTCAAAGTGGTCAAATGCGGGCGCGCAGCTCAGCAGGCGGCAGCCGCCTCGATCAGGCCACGCGGGGCGCCATGAACTGTGCCGGCGCGGCGGGCTACGGCGCCGCGGGTAGTGAAGCCGGGTTTAGGCAGGCTGAGGTTTTATCATGCTGCTCAGTCTTTAGGCCCCGTAGTCACGCCCCGGTCGAAACATGCCTTTTAACAGCCCAGCAGGTGCCGGTTCAAGTGACCGTCACAAACCTGGTATATCATTTGTGTGGCCCGACTGACTCAAGCGCAACAAACCGGGGTAGTCCACAGAACCGTCACCCACCCGCTTCAAAGTTTGACCGGTTGAGGGAATCTGAAGACCGGGCAGCCATTCTGCCATGAGACTGAGTTTTGCTGAGGACAAACGCTTTGCTCTGCTTGCGTGGTGTAGCTCGCTGTCTTCCGCGCTGACAATGCAGAGATCCAGCGCAGCTTTCAGAGGTGCCTTCTCAGAAGGAGAGGGCGCACGAGGGCGAGCTGACGCAGCTTAGATGGCAGCAATGCAGCTCAGCCTGAGTGCCGAGACTCTTCCAGGCTGCTTTGACCTCTGTCTCTCAAGCTGCGCTGCTTTCCTGCAACTATGAATTCGTTGTCTTGGCCACTGTTTGGCATTCACTTCTTTACCCAGCACAAATCAGCAGATTTCGCAGTGCGTCCTTGCCTCCAAAACTTGAACTCCGCCAGCGCTCCGCCAAAGCCAGCCTAGCAAGATCGATCACAGAGCTGTGTGGTTATAATGGAGATTACAGCGCGCACTTCCAGCTCAGCATTCCATCAAGGGGCTGCCTGCAAGTCTCTGACACTGGCTAAAGGGAGCAAGGTGAGTCTATGCTTTCATATGAGCGGTTCTTTATGCTCCTCAATTGTTTCTTAAGCAGAACGAGTGTGGCAGGGGGCACTGGGAACAAGGCTGGTTTCAAGCTGACCTGCTGCTTGGTGTTTCTCTAGGATGGACCCTGGTCTTTCTTTTGAGAAGTAGCAGAATTGAGGGCTTTTAACCACAGCGAAGCATCAGATCTACTACACACGAGACAGGCGCCAGCCCTGCGATCAAGCATGAGGTTCTTTTGGCAAAAGCGTGCTCTCAGATGCTTCCTTTGGTGTCTGATGCCTCAGTTCAGGAAGGTTGCCAGTTGTCCTAGATTGAATATAGCCTTCTTCAGCTTAGCGCTTCTAGCGATTTCGAGTTGTACCTAGGTTCTCACATTCGCAACTCTTGATGTGCGAGGAGAAGTAAGCTTCCTGAGCACAGGCTTCCAGTTTTGCCTCGTTAAATTTCTCGACGCCCCTTCATTTTGTCTCCTCCCTTCTGTTTGGCTCAGAATCAGAGTCCTATCCTGGTGCATTTTACCTGAGATCCCGTTTACTTTCTGGAGTAGACACATGGACCTGGTTCAAGCGCAGCCTCCAGAACTTGACGTCCTACTCTCTTCAACCGCCGCTCTTATCTCCGAGGCTCTCCTTGGGTCAGCACTTCGGTCCCTCTCGTTTTGCGACTTGGCTCTTCTGTGTCTATTTTCTGTCTTATGAACAAACACAAAGTTTTTGCTTATGGTGCCGGCAGGCTGGGCATCTGAGCGGAGTGCACTGCTTGCATGTTTCTCAAGGAAGGTGTGCGGTCCAGTTTGGCAGCCAAGCATGCGAATTTATTAGAAGTAGGTCATGCGTTACTGTACGCAACTGGAAGACGTGTGCAGGCCACGCGACAAGAGCCTGTTAACAAAGTCAGTCCTTGTCCTTCTTTTCAATGAAGTCATCCTTCGTTCAGGCAGATCCCGCTCTCATTCCCTGATCCAATTTGTCACAGGTAAACAATGATTTGTCATCTCCTCTCAAGCTACTCTCCACTGAACATGACTGTTTTCTGCAGGGGCTGGGGGACAACAGTGTTGCTGTCATACTGGCGATTCTACGTTCAGTTTGCAGTTGGCGCAACGCTAAGTTACACAAAGGTGAGCACCTCAGACCCTGCCCTTGTGCGGCAAGCCCAAAGCCCCTCCTTGGCATCCTTGTCTGTCTTTCTCTCCTCCAATTTCTCCCCCCGCCACTTTTGTGCAGGGCTGCCAACGATAGAATGGGGCCAGCCCACTTTACCGGCTCTGCAAGCAGCGCCCTTTGGTTAAGGCTTTGCGCCGCCCATGTAAGTGGTCTGTGCGTATCCCGGGAAGCTGGTTACCCATAGGTCTTTTCTCCACAGGTGAACCTCCCGGGCTGCGAAGATGATGCTTTTCTAACACCGGGATGCACAGAGGGGTGCTTCTGTGGCTGCGCAAAGGACAGGGTCTGAGGTGCTCGCACTTTCCCTTCCAGGTATGCCGGCGAACGGAGGCCGAGAAGCGCGATCGCGCAAGAAGCGGCGTCTGCAATTGGTGTGGGGCGCTATTTAAATGTGAATGACGTCAGATTGCGGCGACTTCAAGACATCTGACGTCAGAAAGGTGAGCCCCTCTCTAGCTTTTTCGCCTAGCACTCTTCTCGAGATTGACGATGACTCAGCCTGGTTTGGTCAAACAAATAGGGGATCGCTGCCTTCATACTTCGGCCGGGTCTGCCAATCCTGCAAATTCACCCAAACGAGGGAACACTAAGATGGCTGTCCAGCGGGAGAGCCCGCATTCAGAGGACCGAGATGGCTGTCCAGCTAGGCTGACTGTGCCTTAGTGGCTTGCCGTCAATCAAACCTCACGCAAAACATCTCGTCAGTGTCACATCCCGTCACCCTTCTGACGTCACTTGTTTTTGGCCAGGGCTGTTATGTTGCTGACTGAGACAGTTTCCTTGCAGCAAACGGCGTGGTGGCGGTCTGGGCGATCCATTGGTGCGGCGACTTTGAAATGGGGAGCATCCGTCGTACTTTCGCCGGACTGCAGTTCCTGAAACGAGCAAATCCTGCAAGCGAAGCTCTATGAAGAGATTAACCCCTCTTTTATCATGGTGAGCACCTCAGACCCTGGCCCTTGTGCGCAAAGCAGAAAGCCCCCTCTTTGCATTCCGCTTTCGAGTCTGTCCTCCTCATACGTCGTAGGGCCAAGAGCAGCTCATCTCCCGGCTCAGGCAAACATCGCTTGCAGTCGGGACTCTGCCCCGGTCCTGTAAGTCGTCTGTTTGCACTCCGGGGGGGTTGTTTCTTGGCCAGTTTCTCCCCCCGCCACTTTTCTGCAGGGCTGCCGACGATAGAATGGGGCCAGCCCACTTTACCGGCTCTGCAGGCAGCGCGTTGGTCGGGGCTTTGCCTAGACCTTGTAAGTCGTCTGTGCGTATGCCGGGAAAGCTGGTTCCCATAGGCGTTTTTCTCCACAGGTGCACCCGAGAAGGCATATTTCTAACACCGGGATGCAAAGGCGGGTGCTTTTCGTGACTGCCCAAGGACAGGGTCTGAGGTGCTCGCCCTTTTCCTTCCAGGTGTGCGGGCGACCGCGGAGTGAGAAGCACCCGCGCGTGCGAAGCTGCAAGCGGCACAATTTGCGTGGATGCGTGAGGACGTCAGTGAAGTGACGTCAGATGAAGCGCTTGGGAGTCGCAGTCCTGAGATGTCAATTTCTCTGGTGAGTGCTCCACAATCTGATCGATCGAGCTCGGTGATTGTGTTCAGTTGGTGATGTGTTCACGGAGCAGAATTCACAGTAGATGCTGAGTGTCTGAACACTCCGGATCAGTCTGCCTTTAGTTCAGCGAACAAGGAGTCTGTCTGTTACATCAGCTGAGCGCTGCTTTGGATTTGCGCTGTTCCAAATCCATAAGCTTAGTCGCTTCGCACGCAGCGGCGGGGAATGTCAGACCCCTTTTGATTTGACAAGCTGGATCCACCAAACGAAGTCGCCTTCGAGATTTGCTGGCAACTTGGGTTTGCGGGCAGCTCCTGAACGTTCACCGTCAGAAAGCTCTCTTCAATCTATCCGCAGGTTGGTAGATGAACTTATCTGCTTAGAGTTGCAGCTCGTTAGGTTTTACCTTATCCTGCCGCTATAACATTCTCCCTGCCCGTTGCAGGAAACCATCTACAACTCTTCTTCGTGGTCGTTCTAGACGGGGTGCAAGCGTCGTTGCTGCTTAGAAGCCCAAGTGAGCACCTCAGTCCCAGGCTTTTGCGAAAGTTTGCCTCGACCTACTGGTCCCACCGCCTTTTATGCTTCTTTTTGCTGATGCAGGGCGTAATCGGAAATGGTTTGCGCTTTCACAGGAGGATTTGAATCGTTCGTCGTCTAACTAGAGATGGTGCTTCTGTTCTACCCTTGCTTTGTATCTGTCTGATTCGGATTGAAGTTCCCGTTCCGCTCCCCCTTGAAGCTGCTTTCATGCGATTGTTCGGTGCGTGTCTGCCGAGTTGTCTGAGGTTGCTGTCTCCGAATAGCTCTGGCGGGC